GCAGATATACCCAAGATGCTGTCCTCAGAGCAGGCTTGGCCACCAAGACTGTGGACGTGGGAAACTGTGGGAAATGGGGAGGGGAGTATCCCAGTTATGGGGGAGCTGCCTCTGGGTTCAGAGTTCAGGGCTCCTGCTCACGGAATCCCCAGGAAGAGGGCCTGCCTGAGCTCCTGCAGAGTCCTGCCCCTGCCACCCACCCTAGGAGAGCAGCCCTGGGTCCGGGGCCAAGGGGGCGAACTGGCACCAGGACCCAGCCATCAACAGCTGCTATTCCTCACCTACCGATGAGAAAACGGAACCCCAGGGACATTGACAGCTTAGCCAGGGCCACTGACTCCTGATCCCCGACTCATACTCTAGAATGAGGGCCCAAATATATACCTACCCAGACTGTCATGAGCCACTGGAGGCCACAAGCCCAAGCAGCTCAGTCAGACTTACGTGGGCAAGTGTGACCCCAAGCAGGGTCCCTTCCAGCTCCTGCTGGGGTCTGGATGAGTTTCCAGGACACCAGACCCCCAGTGGATGCTGGCAGTTTGGCCCCTGATCCTTCTTCAGTCCCTGCCTCCAATATCCAAGTCGGGGGAGGGGAGTCCATAAAAATGCAGTGCTCAGGGGAACCCCAAAACTCTGCCTCTCATTTCCAGGTCCAGCTCCTCCTTCTGCCCCCTATGCTTTCCATCTGCATTTATAAAGCACCTGCTAGGTGCTCTGTACCTGAGGCCCTAGGGGTCCAAACGTACATGCAAAAGGTGAGCTATATTGAGGATCATGGTGTGGGGAGGTCAGCTTGGCAGCCTGGTTCATCCAGAAGGCTCTTGGAAATATGGCAGGGAGGCCGGACTAGGGGTCTTCTCCAAGACCTGGAGTCTTTTTGACTTTGTCTTTAAAGAGAGCGTCTATCTGTTGACGGCTCCCAGCCCTGTCTGTCTGGCCCTGGCCTGGATGCCTCCAGGGAAGAACACTCTGGGCCTGGATCACCTGCTCATTTCATCCAGAGACCCAGAGAAGTGAGGCCATACGCTCAAGATCACACAGCAACTCAGCGACTGTGTTTTGCCTGGGTGGCCCCAACACGTGGGGTCACAAGCTTCTTCCAGACTAGGCTGCCCCTTAAACACAGTTAACCTCAGGCAAGGATTGCGCTAATCTCACCAGGTTCCACATTAACCACTTTTTCCGGAAACTCACTCTTCTTGGGCGGGGTGGGGGTGGTAGTGGTCATGGTGTGGTGATTACGTTTCCAAAGAACACACAGGCTCCGCTTCAACTTTCACCCTTTAAGAGTCTCACCCCTCTCCACACCTCACCCCTACCAGGAGCCCTTTCTCTCAGCACCCCCTGCTGGGGACAAAGCCCCACAACTCCCTAGCATCTCAGCTCCAGCTTTGCTGGGCGCCTGGAGTAAAGTGGACCCAGCCCACATTAGAAACCTCTCCAACCTGCCAGTCTCCCGAGAGGCTTCCCTCACTCCCCAGCTGTGGCTGGGAAGGGGCCCTGTCCTGGGACCACCCAGTTGGCCCAGTTCTTGACAGGAATACAACCCACCCCACTCTGGCCACATCTCTTCCAGGACCTGGCCTTTCCAGGCTATGGGGAAGAGGAAGTGTTTGCCCAAGTTCCTGACAAGACCACAGGCTTTCTGCACGGCCAGGGCAGGGGTCCCACGCCAGGTGGGCCAGAGACTGGGATCACCCCTGACAGCCAATAAACAGTCACGGGGACTGGGGCCACCAAGCCGGGCCCCACGGCTGTGCCGCCCTCCTTCAGCCCGCAAGGAGGTCCCACCCCACACCTCCGAGCCAGGCCGGAGCCAGCAGCCCCAGATGGAGCTCCATCAACTTACTAGCGACCTTGGCAGAGACTCGGCCCCCTTTCCCCCACTGCACTGCTTTCCAAAGGTTCATCCAGGCTTGGGGGCCCCCTCCTCCAGGCGCGCCCCCCAGACTTACTCTGGCTTGCACCCCCCGCTGCCTCCCTCCTCACTGGCGCTCCAGAGGAGCTAGGAATTGGCGCCGTCCCGCCGGGGAAGGTCTGCCGCCCACCCTTCACAGTCCCCACCCTCCCGGAGACCCCCGACCGCCCCCCGCCGGGTGTCCTTCCACCTCCGCCCCGAGTTGGCTCGCCCGTCCTCGGGCCACAGGGGGCCCCTCCGCCGCGGGCAGAGGGCACACGCGGCAGGGACCCCCAACCCCCGGGGGGCTGCCGCGGCCCGAGCCGGCGCGGTGCGGCGAGCGCGCGCGGACCTACCCGCTCCACATCCCGGCGCCGCCGCGAGCTCCCTGCGCCGCCCGGCGCCGCGTCCCCGCCCGCCGCCTGT